TGCACATGCATTTGAATATAAATTTCTGAGATTTTAAATCTGTTATTTTACCTTAATTTTAATTAAAAAATATTTTAAAACCTGCTGATTACCTATAGTATAATTAAATTTCAATATAATGCATGGCAACTGTTGGTAGTTTTGAAGTTTATATATTTTCTTGGCAAACTTCAGTTTTTGACATTTTTGACGGGTTTTTGACGGTTTAAACCAGTATTATACCCTTGTCATGTCAAAAACCACTTTTTGACGTCAAAAACCCAACCCTGACTAAAACCGATAAGATTTCCGTATCGTGATCTGCGGAAGATTTTTCGAAATCTTGTCCCACACAAGAAACTAAAATAAATAACAAATGGGGATAGTTTGCAGGGTTTGAAAAGAACCGGGTATTTTAGAAAAAATCCAACCCGTCTGGGTTTTATTGAAAAAATCCGGAGAAAATTGGGTTTTATTTGAAAAAACCCGGGGAAAATTGTTTTTTTTTTTTTTTCATTTGTTGCTCATGAACTTTAAGTTTTACTGTGTAAATATCTTTATTTATTAAAACGTGTTGTATAAGCTTAAAAATAGAATTAAATCCAAAAAGTTATTTTAATTTTGTTACATATACTTTATATTAAATTTAAATAACGTATTATCACTAATACATATTTGAATCTTCCTTATTGTTAAGTACATAACGTTTCACAATTTTTAACTCAAGCTTTATATTACCTATCATAAAATAATAATCAGTAAAAACTAAAATTTCATCTGACTTTTTACTTTAAAAAACTGAAATAAATATTTAATGTTTTCCATGTTTCCAAACTTCCATGTTTTTATAATAAGATTAAAAGAAATTGAAATTATGTATAATTATAAAGAGTTATCAGTTGTCCCATTTTTTTCAACTAATTAACCCTAGGAAAATGATTTCATTTTTAGATGAATAATTTTAAAAAGTTTTAGCTTATTTTTTTAAGGCCAGAAAATAAAACTGTTTATGTATCACTTAGTAAAAAAACAATTGTATCTTTTCAATTTGTTTAAACATATGAATTAATAATAATATTAATACATAAAGCATGCAACGGTATTTGAAAAATTGATCGTTTCAGACTATATTATTTAAATTTCTATTTGATTTAATTTCATTAAAATATAACTTTTTGAAAAAACCCACTTAAAGTTTGCAATAGTACTATAAAATTATAGATTCGAGTTTCTTTTACTTTTCCAAATATTAAAAACTTAATCACATAAATCACGCAACTCTATTTGACAAGTTTATGCTGCACAATAAATTACATAAACTTAAACAAGCACCAATAAGTTTTAATAAGAACATTTTTTTGTTCAAAAAACCCACTTATCGTTCCAAGTGGGTTTTTTCAAGGTGGGCCCACCCAATAAAACCCGGGCAGGTTTTTTCAAAGTGGGCCCACTTGGCGAACCCTGATAGTTGGAGATTTAAAGATTTTCTTCTCATTTACCGAAGTTTAGCCTTTGGACAATAATGATTAGTGACAGCAGGTAAAAAGAAAAGGTAGCAGATTAAGGAAGCGAAATTGTTTGTGGGAGTTCCAAAAATGAGATTTGGAACAGAGCGAGATCGAATATCTTGAAAAAAGGAGTTGGTTGCTGGCAGTCAGGGTAGAAGTTGAGGAGGCAATCTATATATATATATTTCTTTACATACAATAATACTTTAAAATTTTCTTTATGTCCAAATTCAATTTCTTAATAAAGTTCTGAATTTTCTTTATACTAAATAGAGTTATCTACATTTTTGAAGAATAACTATCACCTCTGAGCAGTGATTAAGGTATGACATTCAATCCTGACAGCAACCAACTTGAAGGTTATAATTCATAGTCACCCTTGGGAAAACCTCTTGTTTTTTTTAAATTACTAGTTTAAAATCCATTTGGCACCTTGGCAATTGTTGTTGTAAAGATCATGTTATGGAAATGTCCTTGTGAAACCTATTAAGCTGATGTTTTTATTTTATAACCTGTCTTTTTTTATCGTAATAATCAGCAACCTGACTAAAATAATTAAAATTCCTTTTTATGTGTTATCTATTTGTCTAAGTGAACTATCGGCTCTCAAATGATCAACTAACATAGGTTTCAATGTATAAGTAATGTATTAAAAAAGAGAGTATGTATAAGAGCACTGATCATTATTTAGGTATGTTTTATTATAATAAAAATTCTTTATATTGATATTTATTCTTTAATCCTGTGTCACTCTTGAGAAATAAATTAAATGTTATTTCGTGATTGGGTAAAACTTTCAAAATTGCTTTTAAAGTAATATTTTAAGAAATTAACTGGTTAGATATAATAGTACACAGTAGGGGGCAAGAATAATGTAACAGTCAGTTTTTAAAATGTTTAAAATATCATAATCCTTCTTTCATTTTTCTAATAATTTTTTTTTTTAATCTGAAAGAAAAATAACAGACAGTTATGTTAGTACTTAAAAAGGCAATACAATCAAAACAACTATTATGTTTTATTAATTAAGAAATATATATATTTATGCTATGCTCTGTTCTATTTTAAATAAGGAAGAAACATATAAAACATGAAAAAGGTAATGTGCTTTTTTCACTTTAAGCATTCTTAATTTATATGAAAAAAAGGGGGAGTTAAAAAATTACCTTATTTCTACTATTTTATTTATTTTTTTTCTTTTACTTTTTTTAAATAAAGAAAAAGTCAGAGCAAGAAAGAAGGACTAAAGGTAGGGAGAATATTGAGAATTTGCTCCCATGAAATATAGATAATTTAGTTTATTTTATATATTTCTGTATCAACTAATGTACAAAAATGAATAACGAAAAGTAAGGAACATGTTTGCGTTTTTCTAACAATAAAAATACGTGCAAGTATATAATAAAAAACAACCTGCTTTCACAAAAAGGGGCAGTGAAGATGAATGCCTTCCCAGTCTTGGGGGTTCAGTGGGTTAAGTATTTAATCAAGAATTATATTTCTAAAAATCATACATTTTGCAAATATTCTCATGAAAACTCAATTATTTGTTTGTATAATTTATTTGCATATTGCTTATTAATGTAGTTTGCTTGTATTTTAGAAAAATTGAATCTTTATTTAGAGGAAAACCTGATAACCTTGTTTCTGGCCAGTGGAAGGATGAAATATATTCTATGGACTATAAAAACAGAGGAGAATGTCATATATTTAGTCATAAGGTACACTTTCTGATCAAATTTTGGGTATACTTTTCTATTTTACCAGTGCAGGCAGTAAAGCCTGATCAATGTAACCTGGCAACCAACCAAAGTAACCTGGCATGCAAGTATATTAAACTTCTTTTTTTTTAAATTTTTTTTGATGACTGCATTTTATTTATTTATTTAGTTCTTTTGAAAAAATATAAAATATAGCTGAATTTACTTGAGTTGGCAAAATGTGTATGATAAGTTTTATTTCAAAATTTTTGTGACTTTTTTATCGAAAAGAGTAAGCCCGATTGTAAATTTTCGTAACACAAGTATGCCAGGTAACATAATTTTCAAGCTCTAATAATTATGTGTTTTTTCTTTATTTCATCCCTTTGCTTTTTTCTGTCTATTTCATTACCAAAAACAGATGGAATCCTTGATGTATATTTATTTGTCTTATATTCTTGTGTACTAATTCATTTGGTATGTTTCTTTCTTGTCTCTCATTTGTAATATTTTTTTCACCAGTTTTCTGTGTTTTATTGTTGCTGAAACTAATACTCCAGTGTAACAGGGAGATTCCTTTGCTTTATTAATGTATGTATTATATTTGTAGATTTAAGCATTGTTTTTGTCCTCTACTGGTTTATTCCACTAGAATGTATGCAGGTCTTAAAATAAAGCTTAAAAAGCAAAAAGTTAGTCTTAAAAAATTATTTATCCAAGCTATTTAAATTTTTTAATATTAAATATTAAAAACTTTTATTATGGTTTAAAATATTACTATTCTGAAGATTTGTTTCATTTCATTCATTAGAGATTCGATTCAAGTCTAGGATGTAGCTTTATTGAAGAGACTGAACTAGATACAGATTTACTACACCAAACCTTTAAGGAACTTGGCTTTGTTGTTACTTTGCATGAAGATTACTCGTTAAAAGATATTCGTAAAGTGATTGCTAAAGGTTTTTATTTAATTTTTCTTTTAGTGTTATTTTATATAAATTGGTTTTGAATTTAAATTAATTTTTATCTTTTTCATAATCTTATCTTAGCCATACAATCCAATAGTTCCATAATCTTATCACAAATATTGTCAACTGTTAAAAATATCAAGATAAATTTTGTTTAATATGTGCTCTTAAGAAGAGTGCTTAATATCTTTAGATGTGAAATGAAAAGAGTATCAATCATTGTGAGCTATTTTTAAGCTTGAAGAAATAAAATGCCGGTTACATAGTATTTTTAAAAAGTACTTAAAGATGCTTATTTTTGATTTACCTTTTTTAAAAGCCCTTAATTGGGATTTGTAAAAAGTGCTTAATTTTCTATCTTTCAAAGGGAGCTTTTTTCTTTGTCGTGTCGATTGTCGTCATAATTCACGAAATAATATCGATCGATATCGTTAATATCGAGAAAATGTTTTTGAAAATGTTTTTACATTTTGTTGATTTTATGTTCATATATTTATAACTTTAATTAGAAAGAAATAATTTTTATGACTGCACATATCCTAATTATGATTTCTTTTTTGGAAAATGATTAAAAATATTTTTTGAGTGCTTAAAGGATGTTTAATTTTTTTTTGAAAAATCTGGTTGCGCACCCTGCAATGCATGAAATGACACCTTCAGTCGGAAGGTTTAGATTTTATTATTGCTGCTTAAAGCTTATATTTTTGAGTTATTTTAATATTTTTACCATATTTTTTTAATTATTTGCGATTAAAAATTGATTAGTCAAAAGTCATGGTGTATCAGAAAATTTTGTACTTACTAGTTATATTAAGAAATTAAAAGTATTTCATAATAATTCATGCTGAAGATTGAAGTTCTACAGGAAAATTATTTTGTAATTATTAAATATTTGAACTGAATAATACTGAAAAGAGGTCAGTTTTAGTTTGCTTATTTATTTAATTTTCATTTATTTCTGGACGTTTTAAAACTAAGAAATTAAATAAATTATTAAAACTCTAAAAATAAATGATGGTTATTGTTTTTAATGTCCTTGTATTATTATTGTTTTAATATTAATAAAAGGCCTTCTTTTGCCACTCATGCATAGTTTTTAAACTAAACATGGCTTGTAAGAGGGGAGGAGGACTTTGGTTTCTATTAAATTTTTTTATTTTGGTCTAGATTGAAGACCAAGCTGTTTCCTTTTTTTCTCTCTTTTGATACCAAAACTTCTTTTATTTTTTCGAAAAATATCCTTGATGTTTGAAATAAGTTTTTATTTTAAGTTGCATGCATTTTCTTCCCTCTTATTTCTTGCTTCTGTTTTAATTTTAGTTAGTGAGAAAGATCATAGGAAAGCTAGCTGTTTAGTTTGTTGTTTTTTATCATATGGAAACCAAGCAGAACTTTATGCAGCCGATCAGTCTTATAATATAAATAGCGTTTTGGCACCTTTCTGCGCTACTTTACCTGGGAAGCCAAAAATATTTATTTTCCAGGTGAATGAAATTATTTGACTCATAAAAAATTTTTAATTGTAAAACAATCCTTTTTAATATTTGTAAAAATAACCATATTTTATGTCCATAATTACTTATTTAATGTAAATATTTTTTTTTTATACAGGCATTTTATTTCCACTAATTTCCAGCTTCTTTTCAAATCAAATACAAAAACATTTTATGAAGTAGTTAAGTTGTTATGAATTTATTCATATTTTGTTATCGTTATTTCAAAAAAAATTATTTTGCAATTGAGAATTAGTAAAAAAAAAGTTAAATGCCTTATAAAAACTTTTTTTTAGTTTAGTCACTGTTAGTTATCTCCTATCTAAGAATTTTCTATGTAATTCAGTCATTAAATTTGTATTCATTATTAAATTTTTTTTTAAAAAATAAATGTTTAATTTTCGATATTGATTTTTTTTTTACATATTGCTTTTTTACGTCTGTAATATCTGCCACTTCATATTGTTGTATAAATGTTTTCAAAGAAGATAAAATTTATTAATAATGTTCCAAAATTATTATAAAACACTCTTTACATTGTGGTTTAATTTCTGCGGTATACTTCTGGAGATTATGCCCGAAAAACTTATCATTACATAATCTGAAATCCTTTATTTTACAAAAGAACAGTACATTTTCACTAATTAAACTTTTATTACTTTATGGCAGCCAATGCTGGCTTTTGAATAAATCTGATGATAATAAACTGCCAATTTTTTCAATACTCTGAGCCATCTTCAGATCTGTTAAAGAAAGTGATGTTTGGCAGCTTCAATTGACAATTATGAATTATATTCAAAATTTAATTAACCAAACATTACTTCAGCCATTAAATCTTATTGGATAGGATGGCTGGGTCACATCTGTAGAAAAGATGATGGTGACCCAGTTAAGAAGTTGACTTTTGGAAAGTTTACTGGCAGCTAAAAAAAGGGTAGACCAAACACCAGACGGATTGATGCTGTGGAAAATCCTTAAAACCATTGAGATTAATAGATGGAGAAACCTAGGTTTTGATTGTGCCAAATATAAATGACTTGTTAGGATGGCTCTGACTTGTATAAGACTGTTATGCTGGTAGAAAGAAAGATAGTAAATTTTTCCATCATGCAAAGTTTAAACTTGTGTAATTTTGATTTCAAAATAGGAGAGATAGTAGTGTGTGTTTAAAATTTTACCAGCTCTTATAATTGATTAAATTGACTCTTTTAGGTAGAAGTTATTATTAATTTTACACAAAATTTTGAATTCAGAATTTTTGAAACAAAATCTAACGGTATGATAAAGAGCATAAAGATGATTTTTTTTAAAATATGTGTCAGTTTTTTAGAAAAAAATATCTTTTAATGTAAAATCATGTTCATATCTCTAAAAAATATGTGTTTTGTATAAGAGAAATCTTAGACAGTTTTAAAAGGATATATAAAAGCATAATAAATTCAGATAATTAGTGTAGTATTTATCGAATCATGGGAGGTTATTAAATTGTATATATGTATAAAAAAGAAAAATTTTAAATTGGTCAGTTCTGAAAAAAGAAATAATAGAAGTGCTTGTTTAATTGAGTGAAAAGATTTAAGTGAATCTAGATTTACTTTATTCTTTAAAAATAATAATTAAATTAATAATTAAATTAATAATTAAGAATAAAGTGATCTATAAAGTAAAGAGAACATTTTCTGCTTTCCAATCAATTAATTCTGAAATTCAATTAATAATATTATTCATAAATTTTTATGGTGATGATTTTAGGGGTCATACACTTACTCATTTCAGTCAAATGCTGTAATAAATTTAGTGGGGTTTAAGTCTTTTATAATTTTACAATTATTGATTCATTTATTTCATCCAATTTTAAAAATTATCGATTCCCATCAACAATACAGTAATTATATCATAGAATTTTAAATGGTGAATTGCAGGATCATCCACTGAAATTGCTTTTGTTCAAAAATTTTAAGTGGCATATTCACTGAGTTTTCATTTTTAGATTATTGAAACCCAACTTTAAAATTATCTGATTATGGAAATCTTAAACTCAGCTACAAATTGTAATTATACATTGTAATGAGGGAATATTAACTAATTGATACTGGTTATTTTTATTTAAATGGATCAGTAGTATTAAAATTTTCCCATGCATTGATTTTAAACTATTTTAAGTTGTCCAGAATTAATAAAATTATGCTGGAAAATGTTAAAATTTTCTTTTCTAAATAAAGTAATTCTGAAATCTGAAAAATAATTATTTTATTATTCTTTTGCGATAAAATTTGCTTTTATTACGGTTAAGTAATTTAAATTGTCCTTTTTCTAGTTTTCCTTTTTTAAAAGTCGTATGGTACATCTATACTTTTATAAAAAATTTCCTATTTTTCTCTTTGACCCTCAACAAAGCCTACAATTGTTAACTATGATGAAAATATTTTATTAAAAATTCCAAATAAACAAAACACAAAAACTTGTTTTTTTTTTTGAACATTTAGAGTATAGTATCTGAGTTCAGTTTGGAGTTAAACGTGGTTATTTTTCACACAGAAAGATACTAATTTCTTATTATGTTAATTCTGAAGAAACTAATTTCTTAATATGTTAGACCTGAATATTCAACAGAAATCCTCTTTTACAAACTGTTTCATTTAATTCAACACTAAAGGGTTAAACATGCTTCAGCATTTTTAATTTTTAAAAAAAAATTTTTTTAATGTTTGTAATTTTTATTTATATTTTCTTAAATATTACTGAAAATTGATTAAATTCATATTGAACTATGCATGCCTAGTTGGCTCTTGTTCAAAACAAACCTTGTTAAAATCTAAAAGTAAATTTTCCTACTATTATTTTATTCAGATATTTATTTATAAAATGTATTTTACTAAAAAAAAGTATGCATTTAAGCACTCTAGAAATTGTTAGTTTTTAACATATTATTATTTTATTCATTAAATTGTACTGTTAATTTCAAAATTGCTGAAAATCTGTATTCATTTCTTTTTATCACATTTTATAAATATGAGTTTTTGTTCTTCTTTTTGTCGTTTTAATTAAGTAAATAAGTTATTTTTCATAAATAATTTTTTGTTTTATTTAGGCAAAAAAACCTAATTTCAGTGTTCATACTTCTCGGGAGTCAGAAGATGCTGGTCTAGTAGATCTCCTAAAAGGGAAAAAATATTATTCAAAAAGAATTCCTCTCTTTGCAGATTTCCTAATTGCTTTGTCTACATTCTCAGGTTAGATTAATTTCCTCTTTTTCAATTCTGAAATATAATTTTTGTTATTTATTAGTTGGTGGTGAAAAGATTTGCTTATATAATATGCTCAATTAAATCTTGGTTAACTGATAGTTTAAAATAAAGTTTTAGCAATTTAATGTAAAACTTTTAAACTGGCAAGTTTTAAGAGTTTAAATTAAACTCTGTTTTTCACCTTACAATGTATAATAATATGTGAAAGATGATTCTATACTCATTACATTTTTCAAAGTTAGATAGCATTAGATGTCACAAGCAAGACAAAACTTTAATATATATTGTTAGATTGCACTCTGTATTTGAAAGAAAGGAAAGATTCCCATATAGATACAGTACAGAACCCGTTATCCAGAAATCAAAAAACCGGAAAATCAAAAAACCAGAACAAAATTCGATAAATTTCCCCACCATTTTCTTTTAAAAAAAAACGTTTTTTTCCTCATAAGATTTTAGGATTTTTCTTTCTTTTTTGAAAGATGTTTACCATACCATCAATTTGGAAATCTTAAATTATTTTAAATGCATTTTCTCATTTTATATTTATTTTTACTGTTATTTATTTATATTTACTTTGATTCTTATTTTCGTATTTTTGTTTAAGTTTCGTTTTTGTTTTCGTGTTTTTGATTATTAAGAATTTTATCTGTCCATTAAAAGTTAGTTTATTGTGAAGAGCTAAATCTTAAGAAATCTTATTCATGGTCTTTCAGCAATTAACACTGATAATGTTTAAATATTCTGATACATTTCATGCATGTTTGTAGATGAATAAGTGTTTTGAAAAATAATTTTTGATTTTCCCATTTTATTGAGCCTTTGATACAGAAATTTAACTAAACAAAGTTTTCTTACTTTTTTAATTATTTTGTATTACATTAATTATGGTTGAAATAAGTAAAAAATATTGTATTTAGCATTTTAATAATTAATGGTTATTAAATACAGCATGAGGCACCGACATCTTTTTCTGCATTAAAGGTAAAATCTCCCAAACACAAATCACTTTTGATCATTAAGTTTTCGAATATGCACTGATTTGCGGTTATTTAGATATAAAAGAAACAATGATTCATCATTAAAATTCCTTTAATTTACAAAATCAATTATTCATAAATGTTTGAAAATGAATGGAAAAAAAATTTAAAGCTACTTTTTTTGGATTTAATAATTTAGTAAAAATATACACAATAGACAATTTAGTATAAATATATATCTCGATTATCCGAGTTAATGGGGACTGCAACAAACTCGGATAACTGAAAAACTCGGTTAAAGCGAAGAGTATAAAAACGGAAAGAAATATATTTATAATAAGATTTATAAGAAATATATTTAAGAAATACGAAATGTATACGAGTATACCACATACAATTCATATTATAATTAAAAAGCTTACTTAAAAACATTTAAAAAGCATACTTTACAAGAATTAATAGTTTTTACTTAAACAAAGTCCTTAATCGTTTTTCATTCTACGTAACTTTGGCGCTTTTCTGTAGTAATGTTTCGCCTTTTTTAGGGATAACAGGAAGGCTGGTGTCGCCTCTTTTTGTTGTTCTATATATTCAATAGTACATTTGATAGCTTTTAGTCCATCTGTATGAGAGATTTTTATATGTTGATTTTAATAATCACTGTCTTCATCATCTTCGCTAGATTCATTATCATTATTGACGATATTAACGATGATTTCATCAGACCAAGTTGTTGGATTTTGTTTTTCTGAGTGTTTGGAAGATAAAATTCAGATTTATTTTTCAGCGGTTTTTTTAAAAATAAACTAGAACAAAAAAAAATCCTTGAAATATTTGATAGCTCGGTTAAAGCGGAAACTCAGATAACCGGGACTCTACTGTATTTCCGATAATCTAACAGATTTTTTTAGTAATTATCAGACTGTTTTCTATAATTACAAATGTATCAAAATATATTTTCACTTGTAATTAGAGCGTCAGAAAAAAATATTATGAAACAGATGCTAGTGTCTGTTTAATATTATTTTTTACCTTATTTTTTTCAAAGGGTTAACTAGTTTTAGTCCATTTTCTTATCTTTGAGTCCGTAGTGCTATGGGATATAATTAGATAACTCATTTAGCACATGTTAGAAGAAGAGTATTAAGAAAAGTTAAAATTTAATTGTTTGTGTGTACCATTTAAAATAATTTATAAAATGCATAGTAATTAAAAGTCACTCTGAAATATTTTGTGTTTGAGTTTAATATTCTTAATATTTATTTTTACTTTTGGAAATAAACTTGCCAATTAATGTGTTTCATTTAAAGACAATTTTTAAATTAAAGTAATTGTTTCTTTAAAAAAAAAACTTCTTAAAAAGATAACTTTCTTTCGCCTGATTAAAAAAAAATAATGCTCATCACGTTATGCTTTTTTCTTTCCTTAAACAATTTAACTTTTTGAATGAATAAATTATGGTTAGATTATATGAAATTAAATCCTTTATGATATGCTGTGATAAGACTAACAAATTTTTATTTATTTATTTTTTGTGTTTGTTTACATGCTTGCCTTTTGTGACTTTCTTTTAGTCTCATAGTTATAGGATCTTTTTGTATGATTCAATGTTGTTACACATAGATGAATATTCTCAAGCTTCTCACCATAGTATGCATGGCTGAAACATAGCGAAACCTCAAATTTTTCATTAAAAAGTCATTAATTTTAAATTGTTAAAGTCAAATAATATTTTCTTATTAAAAGAATAATGCCTTAAAAACTTATTTATCTTGATACAAAAGATAGATTATTACACTAGGTTCTCTTCTCTTTTAACAATTAATTTTTTTAATAAGAATATAGATGGTGTTTTTCGCACTAGGTAGCAGTGTGCAGACTCTTTACTACACATATTTCTGGTTTACCGTACCCAATGTATTTTGAGGCCAAATGCCTCGTTGTTTTAAGAATTAACGAAGTAAATTATTAAAGGACACTAAATAGTGAAGATAGTACATTTAGTTACTTAATATAAACATAAATGGGAAAAGATAGGACACATGTTGTTTAAGAGGTAATAAAAATTTTAAGTTAATATTGTAATAAAATTCTTTATGAAACAATTATTACATTTTCAAAAATATAGTAACTTTGAAATTTGTATCCAAACAATAATTTGCAAATTAAACTTTTTTTTTTCTTTCCTAACTAAATACTAACTCTAACTTAATCACAGTGTGCTGATTGCAACAAGAATAAATTGCAATATTCTAGTCAAAAGAAGCCAAATCAGGAGTACCAAAAAAAGCAAGCTCTTTCTAAATATATCAACCATGTCACCTTTTTAACAATGTATTTCTAAATAAGTAAAACAAATTTTCGCTTCAAACGACCAAAGATATCATTATCTTATGAAATGTAGCAGATTTGAGTTCAGAAATTATCTTAAATGAAAAAAATAATTATATGTTTAAAAATATCAACGAGCTTTAGTAAGCAGCTGTAAACTGTCTCACCAGAAGTTGTGAAGGTAAAAAGCATGAGATTTTTTTTTAAAACTGTATTAAAAACACCATCCATGCAAATTAAATTATAATGTTTTAATGTTGTGAATATTGCTTGCTATTTTCAATTCTTTTTTTTCATATGCATTAATAAAATTATTCTTTTTTGTGGATTTATTTTAGTGAAATGTTTAATTTATGTTTGTAGGATCTAATGCTTTTAGTAACGGACGAAGGTTTTCAAACTTCATACTATTGCTGTGTCATGCACTGAGAAAGCATAGTAAAACTTTAGATTTTCTATCAATTTTGACATTTGTGAACTCAGAAATGGTTCGTTTATTTGACAGTCCTTTTTTGGATGAAAATTTCTTCTTTAGATCCTGCTTGACAAGAGTGCTGAAGTTTTCATGAAATCAAATTTTATGTATGTAAGTATTTTCATTATTTTTAGGAAAATTAATTAAAATTGTTCTACATTGTAATTCTTAATAACTTAAAAATGATTGCAAGTTTCAAAACCATTGTATTACTTTTTGCATAATTTTCTGACAAATCTTTAGAAAATTTTAAAGAAACTGTTATTGATTAATTTATTTTAACCAAATAACTGATAAATATGTTTTTCTCTTGTTTTTTAATAATATAAATATTACAGATTAAGGAACTTTTGCCCAAATTTTGTCTTAACTTGATGCTAAAATTTTGTCTTAACTTGATGCTTGATGCTTTTTTTAAATAAAATAAACTGCAATGTGAGAAGAAATTATTAAAATTTTAATTCTATCCCCTTTCAACTGATATGTGTCATGATTTTATTATAGCTGTGCCTATTTAATGCTTTCACATTTGTCTCTATTGTTTTTAATTCTAAAAAGTGGTCAATTAAGCTAATTATATTAAATATAATTATATACAATTTAACTTTTCAGGTACACTGCAAATAACTTTCAATTCTAGAACAAATTAATTAAAAATTGATGCTAAAGTGTGAATTGTTCTACTATAAAAATTAAATTGAAACTAGTTTTGCCAAATTTAAAATTAAATACCACTCTCTAGTGATATTTAGTAACAAAAATAATTCTCTTATCTAGCTGGTAAAGCAATAAAATTAATTGTAAAAATAAATTGAAATCAATTTTCTAAACTACATTTCTTATCTTCCTAATTATTTGATTTTGTTTTTAAGAATCCTCAAATTTTCAACGAAACTTTTAATAACAATTAAATCAAAATATGATTCAATTTTGATCAATATCCAATTTAAAAAGAGAAGTTCCAATCCAAATTCGATTAAATAGCTCTATAAATTTGTATTAATGGCGAGCAATGCTAGTCTGCTTACATTTTTATGAAATCATTGCTCCTTTGTTGCAAATTGTATTTATGACTGTTTTTGTAACATCCAGCAGGAAAAAGATTTAAATTATTTCTAAAATAGAACATGTAGAAATGGTTAATTATAAAAATATAGTTACAATGTGTAGTACTAGCAACAAATGTCATACAATTGCAACTATTATTTTTAGAGAATATTGTTTTTCTGTTTTGACTTCATTGCTTTAGCATTAAAATGAATTTGTAATAATAATTATTATCATATAAAATGATAAAGTGTTACTTTAAAAGGAAACATGACATAAAACTTTCTAAATGATTTTATTGTGTTTCTCTTTTTAGGTTTTTTGTTAAATTCCTATAAGGGAACATCCATAGTTTTCATTATAGTAAGTGTTGTAATGGTTGTTTAAACAAATATCTGATACACACACATGTTATTAATGCATCAAATTTTTGACTGATCTATTTTTATTTCCTTGCTGTTCATTTTTGTGATACTTAATGTTTAAAATGTAAATTGATACTCTTGTTTAATTATAATCTTTTGAATTCAATTATTATATATGTAATTAATTAATTTGTTATGAATTCAATCATTCTATGTTTAATTTTATTATAAAATCAAGATGCAAAGGGGTGTTTTATTTTAAGATCTAAATTTGACTTTTTACATTCTTTTATGGCAAAAGAATGAATTGTTTTTACATCTTTTTTAGGGTTTTAAATATTTATCAATACATATATTTGTTGTATTTGCAATATATTTTTAAATAAATTGTTATTTTTTCTGTATCTTTACTTAATGAAATTTATTTTAAATTTTTTACAGTATCATTTCAAAGTTCTTTTATTTGCATTCAAAGTTTCATTTGTTTCTTGCATGAATTAGAATGCAAAAAATTAACAGAATATTCAGTAAATAAATAATTTAAATCATGTTCGTCATTAAAATTTTTTACTACTAAAGCAAAAATTATACTATTCTACATAAAATGTTTACTTAGAATAGTGTTTTATTTATTTACTTATTTTTAAATTACCAATTCAACTTTTTTTGTTAAGAAATATATATTTCTAAATTGATATATCAATAAATTGCCAAAACATATTTTAATTGCCCTCTTCTAAGACCTAAATTTTTAATACTTTCTTAATATGATATGAAATTTTTGTGTAGTACTCTTTTAAAGGTATCATATAATATTTTAAAAGTATAAATTACTTTTATATCCATGAAGTATCAGTATTTTAAAATACTAGTTAAAATAAATGTATTTTTAAAATTTTTCATATCCATCAAAAAAGGCTTCAGGAATCTTTAGTTTTGTAATGATTGTTAAATTGACTACTATGAATCTTTACTATGAAAAATATATTCAATTGGATGAATTTTTTCAGAGGTATTGATAAAATTAGCTGCTATCTGACTTTTTAGACAATTTAAGATTTTAAATTGTTGATTTTTAATAAGTAATTAACTCATATTTATAGTCAAGATATGACACTGAGCACTTATAATGAACAAAATATATTGTCAGTAACCTTATTTAGTTTTTAATAAATTTTAAAAATGTGTTTTGAAAAAATGATGTGTCAATATATGCAGTTTATCCATATATATCACTTAATTTGACATTAAAACTGTTATCAGTCACTTACAAAAAAAATAAGACTTCAATATTTTAAACATGCAATATTTATTTAGGTATAAAACAGTTATTAATCAATAATTTTAGTGATAGGTACTAGATCTATCATACGAACATTGTCAAAGAATTGCATTCAAATTGTTGAGTATTGCAATTAAAAAAATATTATATATATCAGGTTGAAATACATTATACTCTGTACAACTTCTCAGTACTTATTATATGATTTGCTTTAAATGATAAAAATGAAGGAAAAAAATCCATTATAAAGATTATCATAAGATAGCATGTGATTATGAGGTGAGTAAATACTTTTCGATGAAAGTGTAGTCTAACAAGATACTCTTTAAAACATATATCCACTGATGATATTTTTGTGCCTTGGTGAAGTATCTCCTTCTGATTAAAATAACAATTGATGAGGAAAAATGAAAGTTATTGTAGAAGGATGATTATTTCTGATAACTGATTAGGATAAATTATGGGTGATCCTTATAAAAAATGATTGAAATTTTCAAATTACAGTAGAGAACCAATTATCCGGGATGCTCGGGACCATCGCTATCCCGGATATCTGAATTTCCCGGTTTTCTGGATCGACCAAAAAGTGTTGTTAATCGATGTTTTATCGAACCCGAAGTACAAGGAAAAAGTGTAATGCATAAAGTAAGAGAAAAAAGAAAGGTACTCTTAACTTTAAAAAGAAAAAAAAATGGTAGAAATATAACATTTAAAGGAACAAAAAAATTTGCAAGTTTAGACAAGAAAATCAAGTTAAAAAAATACAAAATTCTCATATTTATTATTTAAAAATAATTACAATTCCTAAATTAAGTAATCTAAGCAAAACCAATGATTAAATAACGCAATATATTTCATACCTAATTATACGTGGGAAACGATAAAATAAAAGGAAAACTTATTAATCTAAATAAAAACACTTGAAAATTATCGAACCGAAACGATAGTTAAAAAAGGCACTAGCATAAATATTAAAACCCGGAACAAGGCAAGATCAACAGAATTTAAAAAAAAAAAAAAAACCTAATGATAAAATTTATGAATAAAAAGAATTAATTTATTGAGTGCGAAATTTATCGCGAAAAGAAAAAAAATCAAACGTAGTGGAATCAGAAAAACAAAACTGCAATCTGCTTCATAAAATAATCCTATGTTTAAATTAATAAACAATTCTCCTTTTATTTTATTTTTTTTGTTGATAAAAACAAGATTTTTAATTACAGCAGATGTGATTCCACACCAAGAAAAACTTGCAATTGATACCGCTCTTCCAAAGAATGAGAATTTATTCAAAAGAAAAAGATTTTATTTTTATTAGTCGATGTCAAATAAATATATTTTTCTCTTTTCTTTTTCTATTCACTGATATGCATGCAATGCATTTTCCCCACCCCCCTCGTAAATCAAGCAGAAAACGAAATCAGCATGCCACACCCTTGAGTTTGATTGACGGCCTAAATTAAAAAATAAAACATTCCTCCCTTCCCTGCCTTCAAGGTCACGGAGGAAATGACGTTTCTCTGGGTAAACGGGGAAAAAAATCTTCCCCTTCCTTACATTTACCTCTACTCAACTACAAGGATGAGTCCAATTTCCGCTTTTTTCGTTCTAGTTTAAAATGGCGGGAAATTCGAGCAAACTTTTTCCCGGTTTTCTGGTTTCCCGGTTATCTGGATACCGGATAAATGGTTCTCTACTGTACTAATATTTTGCAAGTTGTTGATGCTATGCGAAAACAGTTTCAAGCCTCAAATATGTTTATTTTTTCATAATATCTTTTTTTCATTCGCATTAGTGCAGTAGCTGTATTTATTATGACAATATAATATAATCATATTTTGTTATAATATTAGTATATAAAATGAATTAATTCTAGTAGAATTTTATTACAATTAGCACAACACCACATTTTAGAAACCATAGCAAATAGGAAACTGTGCTCTGATTCTCTTCAATATTATGGAATTTTTATGCCTATATTATTTAGATGCGTAATCTGTGCAATTTATTGATGTGACCTGCAAGCACAAAGGGTCAAAGACCCCTTACATCGAAGGGTAATATAAAGGATAAACGATGGGGAAAGAAATTCTTTTCACCATATGGCATAGGTTGCAAAATTAAAAGTATTAATAAGCATCATTTGTTAGCATGGAGATTAAAAAAAGAAAAAAAAGTAGCACATGGTATAGATTAAACTGTACACCTCTGATTTGATAGGGTATTTACATTATGTTTCCGAAAGTAATTTTATCATTAAAAATACTAAAACAATTATAATGTGAAATTTTTTATAAATCTCTCTGGTGCATTTTCTTAATTCATGGTATGTACGTCATAATTGCTGTTTAAGATAAGTCCCAATTTATGAGACAGCCTGTACAGTTAAAACTAACTTTCTAAAATGTCTCTTGAAAATATATTTCCCTGAAAAATTCATATTAAAACCAACCTTCATGAAAATATGCATTTAGAATTCATACAAATGCTAAGATTCATACAAAATGCAACATTTTCCACATTTTCAACAATAATCCAAAGATTCATACAGATTGCAACATTTTCAATATTTCCAAAGATTTATACAAAATCCAATGAGCTAAATTAGATTACAAATTATTTTCATAATAAGTAACTCTTAATTTTTCTCCATTTTTTTTTTAAAAAATTGCATTATATACAGTTATACAATATCAATTCTTGAATGAAAAATAATTTAAACATGCTTGAAATGACTGATCATTCATAGATAACTTCAAAAAGTGATTTTGAGATTTTGGAATCCCATTTTCCGGTAACACTTAAGTGGGCTGCTAATCGACCAACTTCTTCACACATAGCTGCACCCCTAGAATTTCCAATAGCTGCCACAGTTACGGTTGGTGTTAATCGATCTATGTAAGGAAAGCCTGTAGGACTGTCAGCTGTGACGCATGGAACATTAAAGATCTTTTCAACTTTTAAACCTGTTACAAAAAAATAGGAAATATTTTTCAATTGTTCTATTACATGTATGAAAATAAAAAATAATTTATATGTTAAGGATTTAGTTTATTTTCGTTTGATTTTATGAACCAGAATGGAAAACGTTTATTATATAGATTACCTTCAATTTTTGAAATAAATTTGTTTTTCAAAATCTAGTTTAACTGACATTCATTTTCTATATTCAAAATATTTTGTTCTGATGTATCTTAACATCGCTTAGCTTTTTTTTAAAGTTTAGTTTTCAAAATTATACTGAAATTTAAATTTTAAAAATAAGCTAGATAATTTGATTTTTTTAAGACTTAAATTTTTAGTGACTTAATTACTTTTATTTAATGTGCTTACTTATTTTTTGCTATCTTTTTCAAGCATTATCTGTTTACTTTTATTCAAAGCTTTTAGAAGGGAAAAAAATCAATAGATAAAAATGTTAATCATTTTGACATAATTCTAACATTTTGAGTTAAATTTTAATTCATGCTATATTTATAATGCTCTTCAAAAGCATACGGAAAATTAATACTTAAAATAACTCTTAAATAAATTAAATGTTCATAAATATAAATAAGATTTGCTTTTTGGAATGAAAATATTTTTCCTTTAACTCTTTACACACAAACTCAATTCAATGTCAGCCATTTACCCTGTTCAAAGTGGAGCCCTTATTTTGTTTCTGCACTATGCTGTACTTAACTGATGTTCTATGACAGAGAAATTGTAGTTACACATTTCTTAATAGTTTTTTTTAATTGCTTACTTAATTAGAAGCTTATTATTACTAATTCGAAGCAATTTATTATGATTTTGCATCCTTAATTCATCTCAAATTATGGATATTTACATAAACAGTGTACCTGTTTTTATAATCAAAATATACAGAGTGCAACTTTCTTTTGAAATTTTTATCATGCTTCATAGTTAAGATATAGTTTTGTACAAACAGCTCTCTCATTCAAAGTTGGATTATGGTATAATGGACCTTTGAACTGCTGTGTAATTGTGACTTATACCGATATAGCCAAAATTTGACCACATGTTCTGCATTTCTAAAACTTTTTGTGAAATTTAATTTCAGTTTCATGTGTTTGGCAGAAATTTTAAAATAAAAAGCTTTTTTTAAGAAAAATAATTGTATTAAACCAGAGACTACAACTGCTACGCATTCTCCGTAGTTTCCAGAAGTAAAGGTAGCAAGGGTAATGTATCTATATTTTAATAAATTGGAATTTATGACGAACTCTCTTCTTTCCCCCACTATTGCAGCTCCTCAGCGGTGAAATAAGACAGTCCGCTAGGAACCGCCATCGAGTACGGACCCTTAATTCGGAACCCTTAACCCCTCTTCCAAATTCTGGTATTTTTTTTATTCTTGTTTTTATTTTAATGTGTTTTGTCCTTTTCAATAAATATTTAGAGTTAGTTTATTTCTAGTCTTTATTATTTATGAATTACTAAAACACAAATTCACCAATTCTCCCTACAAATTATATATATATATATATATATATACACACAGTTGGACCTCTATTTAACAAAGTTGCTAAATCCCATTAATGAGTTCGTTATATGAAAAATTCGTTAAATAGAAAATTAACTTTTAAAATGCTTAAATAACACGAAAGAGGTTTTAAATTCATAAAAACTTGACATGATTAAAACAGCAATTGATACACCTTTGTCTTGTAAACTAGCATCTAACTATTTATTTTATAAATCTTAACCATAAAAGAAATCTGCATGGAAAGCAAGAATAGAGCAAAACATTATCCAGTGTTACACTATCTTGCTAAATACAGTTTCAACTAGAAAAAGCAAAATTTATGTGTAATATGTATAGCTGCAAAGTAATTTTAAACATACACTACCACATGCGTTCATAAGTTTAATTGCTACTGATAAAATCTTTTGATTTTGTCTGAGTTTTTCGTTTGAAATGCAGACAAAATTAGGAAAGGGATTTTCTGCTTTCTCTAAGAGTTAAGTGGCTTCAAAAATCAATTCAAGGTCATTTCCCCCATAAAATGCGTTAACATGCGTGAAATCTTCTGAAATATTTTGGGAAATAGGGAGAGTGGATCTCAAGGAAAAGTTCGTTAAATTAAAAATTCACTTCGCTATTTGGAAGTTATTTTACGAAGAAATTTCTTAAGTGTTCTTTGTTCCTCGCAAAATAGAGAAATTCGTAAAATGGAAGTTCGTTAAATAGAAGTCCGACTGTATATTTATGTTAGATGCAAGGTACCTATTTTAGATAAATTGGATCTTTCATAACTGTTAGCCAAAGATTGGCTGTAATACCTGAGATAAAGTGGAGGCCAGCGTAAATAATTAGCCCTCAATACAGTCATCAAACACCATGGGGGACTAAGAGGAGCTGACATTTTCCTGAAACCGCTTGTATGCTATTGTCACTTTTTTCTCTTTCTTTTTTGATATGATCAAGAATTTTTTTTTAAAATAAACGTTTTTAAAAGCTAGCAAATCAAAATAAGCATATATTTATATTCGGTTTTGTTACCAGTTGGAGCGATTTATTGTAATTATTAATATTGTAATAAGTATTTACGCTATTTCAAAAAATATCTGCTTTTTTTATGCTATTGAAAATGAAATACCTTGGAAATTGATACCAATATAAGTTCTACATTTTTTTTTATTGTATACGTGATTCTGTCTGAAACCCAACCTTCTGTTTTAAATATTGAATGATTTAGAGAAAAATGAGAGAAATTGCAGCAACGAGTTATCATGCATACACTGAAATATTACCATTTAAAATTAAATTTATCGTCTGGTGCTTTATTTCTTTATTTACTTTTTTTCTTACTTTTTATTTATTTTTCTACACTATGGTGGCATTGAAAAAATCGTTTGGTTTTCGTTTTTTCTTGCTTCGTTTTTACTTACTTATAAAATGGCTCCTGAAGAAACAACGAACATCATTCGAAAATTGATTACTTTAACGAAACGGGATCAGAAAGTTCCAAAATTTGTGAAAAATGCGCGTTTGAGTGCTGTTAGTTTCTGCAGAATTAAATGAAGTTTTTCTTCTACAATTATACCAGAAACTGTTCGACGTGCTTTCAGAGCAGCTGGATTACATGGACGCTCAGGTTTTTTGGTTTGGACATGGTTTTTTTACTGCGGAAAACAAAGTTTACGCTTTCCTTTGCAAGATTAATGTTAAATAAACCACAAACTTACAGGAATGTCTTATTTGCTCGTGAAAACAAATTTAACTTCTTTGGTTCTAATGGGCGTATGGAGAAGAAAAAATAAACTTAATCCTAAGAACTCTGTTGGAACAATTAAGCATGACGGTGGATGTGCTCTGTGTGGGGCTGTATGTCAGTATGAAAACTTGGTAAGTTACTATTTATTGATGGTATATTAAATCATGCTATTTATTTAAATATTTTAAGAAACAATTTAAATTTATCCTCCCAAAATTTAGGTATTGACTTCGGCATTGTTTTATTCCAAAATAACGATCCTAAGCATACGGTTCTCAACGTTCGCTTCTGGTTGTTAAATACGATGATCACGGGGTTTTAAATCATTATAAACGCCTATAACATAATATATTTAATAACAAAAACATGGAAGATGTTCATGATACAGTGTCATGGAGGAAACTGATTACAATTACTGATTTTACATTACTGCGCAAAGCGCCATTTGTTGAGTTTTAGAAATTGTTATTAACATTGAGAAATATTATTAACTGTTTTTTTTTTTNTTTTTTTTTTTTTTTTTTTTTTTTTTTTTTTTTTTTTTTGTCGTGTCTGCTTATTAACTTTGATATCTCCATAATTGCCTACAAGTTTAAAAAGCACAATCTCAATCGTTAGATTTAAACCCAATATAACATAATTGTAGATTAGAAGTTAGTGTACGAAATGGAACGAAAAATGAACTAAAAAACAAAAGTAATAAAAAAATAGAGGAACATTGATGCAGAAATTATAAAAAGAAGCTGGTTAATTTATTCTCCCCTTTTAATAAGTGTTGTAAATGTTGATGGATGTTCTACTAAGTACTAATTAAAAAAAATTAGAATATTTACTAATATGTGGAAAAAATTTTAAAAGTGTACGATGCCTTTTATTAATTAATATTTTTGTATTTTTTATTATTATTGATTTCCTAAAAATAAAGTTTTACTATGCTTTTAAAATATTTCATGCAATTTTGCTAAGAACTGGTTATATATACTATTAACTACCCATTCTGACGTGTTTATTTTAGCCAAATATTTATTTATTTTATTTAATAGTTTTTTAATAAAGTTGATAAATCAATTCGGGATTAATTTACCAACATAGTAGTACTGTAGCTGTAGATCTGGGTATTTTCAATCCTATGTTCTGCGGCCAGAAGTATTTGTTACATCATATTCGATTATTGTTTGTATACATATTTATGGACAGATAACATACTTTATAGTTAACTATTAAAATATTTTTTTATATTATATTTCATTATACCCACCTGGCAATAAATCCTTAAGCATTCTAGAAAAGAAACTCAGAGTATCTTCACTGCCAGTTGATTGATACCATTTCTTAACTTCATCCAATGTGGTTAATTCTGAGTTTACTATCTCTCCTATGTGACCAATTTTCAAGTAGTGTTTGTCTAAAAATAAATTTTATTTTTACAAATTTCGATTGTAAAATTCATGGTTGTAAGTGACACTTTAATGAAAAGAAATTTCGCAAGCTAGTATTGGTGCAAAAATTAAATTAAAACAGCACAAATGCCAATATTTTCTTATACAGCTTCTAAAATAAAATAAAAAAAGTTTTGTAACAATAAAGAAAAAGCATACCATCAGGATATTTAATCGGCGGTAAGATATAGGAACCAATGATATCTGGCTGATTTTTAGGACCTTCGTTACGGGTTATCACAGTTGGCATCGAACTAAAAAAAATATTTTTTGAATTTAACATTAAAGCTGCCGAGACACTATAATAATAAGATTTAGTATATGTTTTACGACCAACAAGAGCATCGGTCTTGTTAATAATCTAAAAAATATCTGTTTATCATTTATTGTGCTGCTCAATTTTTTTTTATCTAATGTCTACTACTGACAAATAATTACTCTTTTCATTTACAAGAGCTCTGATACTTCTTAAACTAAATGTATCTAGATATTATAAATCTGATTAGGAGAATCTTCTACTCACGCACTACAGCCCCTTGCAGGTCTTCCTTCGTCGCCTCAAGCATACATTCTTTCTAGCATTATCTATCCGCAGCGACATCTCTCCGATTGTTACAAAGTTATTCAACCATCTAGATGTGTCTTCTTTCTACCTGGGATTCCTTAGGTTTTTTGAACATTAAGGTCTTAGATGAATTACATTCTGAGCTTCTCCAAATATAATCCGGCCATGTTAATCTATTAGTTTGGGGTCTTGGTGTAGAAGCTTTAGAAACTGAATATTACCGCTTACCATCTGATCTAAATTGTGGTAGTGTAGTTTATTGCGCGTGCATGAATCATAGTCTGTTACCAGTAACTTATAAGTGTAGCTCCAGTGCAACCTTATAAATAACTATGGGTGACATGGGTTATTTGTAGTTGCCTATACCTGTACAGATCAACCTGTACCTATACAGATTAATGTTGTATCCTATTACGTCGCTCCCTTCGTGGTCAAGCAGATCAAATGATCACAATTCTAAAGAGTGATATAACTTTAACAACCATACAATATAAGAACGGAAAGAAAAGCGTGAGCAGCCAGTTTGCATGGTGAAAACGATAAAGACGTAAAGAATATGGAATCCTGACTATTAAAAACTTAAATGCTAAAATAAGCTACTGATATATAGGCTTCAAAGAACAGTTTACGCAGACGTTGGAATGTTTCCGAGTTTTCTCTAAGGTTTGCAAATGCAACACTAATTCGGTCAGGTAGCACTCTGGAAATCGATTCCTGTAAAATCTTACCTCGTCAGCAGGATTGCCGTTTGTAGCCCCTTGCTTTGTTGCATAGCTGGCAACAAATAGTAGTTGAATGATGGATTTTTCAAAAAGCGAGTGCAAAAGCATTTGCTTTGCGACTTCACATTGCATCGTGAAAGCTGATTGTTTTGGCAAGCTATATGACTAATTGTTCAGCTTTGTAACACACTATGTAAAATAATGTATAATACATGCAAGGTGTTTTGTAATTTACGCCCTTAATATATATTTTTGAAATCCTACTCAAACATATTTGCAAGTATTTCAGTGAGGAGGAAACAAAAGCACTACCGAAATTAAATCTGACAAATTGTACTTAAAGAAGAGACAGATGATTAAAAAAAACATCAAATTTTGTTTGATTTTAAGCTTGAAGGTGTTTCTAATAACAGCCTTTCAACTGTTCTGTTCTTCCGTGAAATCAAACAGTTTTAAACTCTCCTTCCTCAAAAGTGATCCTTCAAATTATATCGATTTAGCATAAATACTAATTCACAGCTCTTAATGAGCACATTTTTTTTCCACCTTCATTTTTGAAAAGGATTCTGACAACCTATATTTATGGACCTTGTTTACAGAATACTCAGCATATGCTTTTGTATCCTGCAATAGCCGCCTATAATAATATATCTCTCAGCATAAATACTAATTTGCTGCCTTGAATAAGATAATTTTTTTATATTTCATTTTGACAAGGATTCAATAAGTGTATGAGGTATCGATTATAGAGCACACTGCATGTTTTTTTACTTTTGAGTTCTGTAGTAGCGCGATAAGGTGAAGTCTATGAATTAGGAAAATCTAAGGCCATAAAATTTAAATGAAGACAAAACGTTTCCAAATCTTTATCAATCGTTGTGGAAGTCAGAATGAACAAAGAATGGATTAAAGTCATCATAATCCATTTTGTCTTGAGGGATTGTAATGCAATACCTATTTGATAGAAACCGCATTCACAGCGTTCTATACATATTTGTTTTTGCACGGATTTTAAGCCGTATCTAGGGCTATCATCACAAAACACTGTATATGATTGGAAAAAAAAGTAGTTAAAATTAATCAAAAATATTTTGAAATCCTAGCTATATTTATAAAAGTAATTAAGTAAATTATTAAAACATATTTTCACCTTAGTCTTACTGCTTCTTCTTTTGGTATGCTCAAAAATGTGGCTGTTTCTTTACGCAAAGAAGTTTTCAGCGGTTTATTCGGGTAAAACTTTTTTAAGTTTATGAAAGCTCCTGGACACAATAGAATTCTTTTTGCTCTTATACATATGTTGTGTTCAGTTATTACCTGCAACAAACAGAATATACTATAAAATACAGGGTTATTCATAATTTCCTCTGTTTATTACAACCTTATATTTACTACAACTGGCTTCAGTGGTACATGTTACTGCCATCTACCGGCAACTGCTTAAATTAAAACGTGAATACTTTCGGAATAATTTCATCTGTTCTTTTTTGCCATATTCGTCTTCGTTTTTTTACTATAACGCTTCGAAACCCCGGAGGGAATTATGAATAACCCTGTATAAATTTTTAATTAAAAATTCGGAGGAAAATAATTTGAATTGAAATAATGTTTAAACTAAGTTGACAGTTGAAATATATTACTATGTTAGTAAGTGGTTTTAGACACAGCTTGCTTTTGCCCTTAAATTATGGTTATCAATTATAGTTAGAGATATAAAATTATAGTTACTAAGTTACATTTGAATGAACCATCGGAAGTACATTTGTTGGTACATTTGAATGAACCATCGGAATTTAAATTTTTAGTGAATTATATATTTTTTCTTACAAATTTGAATTAATATTATTTACTTCATTTAAATTTTTTTGCTATGAGCAAATTTTGGTTACTTACTGATGTTTTCTAGACTTGTCTTTTTGTTGCTTAAAACATAAAGGGTTTATCTCTAAATTTAAGTATTTAACAAATTAAACAGACACATTCATTCACAATTTTCTAAGTTTCAAAACTATGAATATTTCAAAAAATTTAAGTATTTTAAGAAGTTTATCGTGACCCCCCATTTCGACTCTTTTCATAAATTGTACTAAATTATATCATTGCAAACTGAGCATATTCATTCATGAACGTATTTGCAAACTTATGTGCAGGAATGAAATGTACAAGTTTTAAGTCAGCATTATTTTTTTTTTATTGTTTGTACAGGGTGCAAAGCGAGCTCCCTGATACTCAAAATATAACTATTGATCTAAAGATCGAATTTTCAAGTTCTAGAACTCAATTTCAATGCTTTACTTTAAATATGGTTATTAATTTGTGCAGATGATATTTTAAGTTATCTAATCAGGCACAAAAACGTACTTTCTCGGAATAAGCATACATTTTTTTTAACAGATTCGGATGCTTGACCCTCAAAATATGGAGGGTAAACGTAATCTGGAAAATACGGTCTCAAAAGTTTGGTCAGGACAGCGGTCGAAAGTCTGTACCACTTAATTTTTATTATTTATTTTTACTTACTTATTTATTATTTTATACTGGGTGTAAATATATGTATAATGTCGAAATATATTATTATACTTCGAAATATAAAATTATGTATAATGTCGAAAATTTTAAATTGTAAAATTAAAAAAAATTACATGATTTTTAAAGAATGTAATTTTAAATGGCAAAATACAAAATTTTAGCATAATTGGTCAAATTATGCTAAAATTTTGAGTTAAAATTTTGAGTTCAAATTAATTTCTGAGTTATTAAATTTTAAAGTTGTATATTTAAAATTTGAATTCTCACGATCTATTCGGCCGATTTTGTTAAAATTTTAAATTTTGTGATAATGTAAAAATTTTTATACCTTACAATTTAAAAATTTTTCTTGACGATTATTAAATAAAATAATAAAAAGAGCAAATTTTTATTAAGAATTATGTTTTTCATAGAATTACCTGTGGGTAAACATATTTGTGTATGAGTTCGTAACTTAAAATATTGTCTGCAATAATTAATTAGCATATTTAAGGTGAGGTCCTCGAACCATTGAGATTGAGTCCTAGTACATTACAATCCGATCATTCGATCCAAAGTTGTTCAGGGTGTTTACTTTTGCTTCGCGTTTGTAATGAAACTAAATATAACTAAAATAATCATGTAACTGAATGTAAAACAATTAAGCAAAAGAAAAAAAAAGCATTTTAAACATATAAAGTTTTATCACATTTTACAATGAACAACACAAATAATGATAGGCAACGTATGAATTCATAAACACTACACGTTTTAATATTTGAATATATTAAAAAAATACTTCCTTTTTCTGATTTTGTTTACATTTTTGTGTTTACGTCAATAAACATGCAACGTCATTGACCTAAAGCAATAGAAAAACATTCTAACTAGCTCACTTTGAATATTTTATGCAAATGAATAAACAGAAAGGCAGATAGAAATCTACAAATATATTTGATGTCTAAAATGATAAGTTTTTATTATTGTTATTATTTTCAAGGTAAAACAACAAGAAATCGGAACTTAAATGCGAAAGCCATGCTAATAGTTATCCTTGATCAACTCTTGTTATCTAGTTTAATTCAAAACAGCTTTTGTTTTTATTATATAGCTTCTTGCAAATATCTTGATTATCGTTTGTGTCATTTGAATTTTTTTTAAAAATACTCTGCTTACTATAATGTCAGAGGATTTTTAGTCAGATCTATTTTCGTAAAGGATTATGGTGATAAATTTGAAAGTTTCATGGGCATTTTTAAAAATGAAACTTCCTTGTAAGAAATTAAAACTGCGGCTTAGGTAAGATTCTACTGCGAATGCGTAACGTATGTAAATAAATACAAAAAAATATTTTAATGACAAATTCAGAATTTTTATACTTATGTCTATAAATAAGTAAATATTTGAACTTGGCTTATGCAAACTATAATAAACTAAAAACAATTACTTTAAGAAAAAGATGCTTTTGATTTATTGCTTTCGTCAATCGTACTTACAAATATGAAATAAAATAGCTCTCACTATGATACAATTGCTATTAAAAGTGAACCTTGCAGATATGAATAATTTTAATTAAACATTAATGAGGTAAAATCACCAAAATTTTAAAATCATTCTTAAAATTAATTAATTTACATATTCTTAAAACTAATATTTTCTAACTACTCAAAAATAATTTGCTCTTCATATTTCTTAGCGAAAATGGTTAGTTGTCGTCACAAAAAGCATGACAAGAAAAAAAATTTCCGTGCAATTACTACACATAATTTTTTTCTATATTGTACCCTCTTCATAAAATTTTACGCTTCATAAATTTTTTTTCTATATTGTACCCTCTTCATAAAATTTTACGCTTCATAAAATGTTTTTCTATATTGTACCTTCTTCATAAAATTTTACGCTTCATAAAATTTTTTTCTATATTGTACCCTCTTCATAAAATTTTACGCTTCATAAATTTTTTTTCTGTATAGTACCCTCTTCATAAAATTTTTTTCTATATTGCACCCACTTCATAAAATTTTACGCTTCATAAAATTTTTTTCTATGAAGTACCCTTTTCATAAAATTTTTTAATTAAGAATTTGCAGGGCCCGATTGAAAGAAGAAGTAGGCTCAAGGCCTACGCGAATATGCACATATTAAATTGTCCCTATTCACCTTCTAATACCTATTAAACGGCTTTTATTATTTTAACCCCAAGAAAAAACAATTTCATTTAGAACTTCATTCTGAATTAGAACTATTGGTATATATTAATTTGATGAATTTAATAGTTATAGCTTATTAGAAAATTAAATTAAATAGAAGTAGTTTTAATATGCTTAAGCCTTTATCAAAGTTGGAGAGTAGAAAGGCATAATCTCTCAGTGGGTAAATGACTTTTATCCAACCTTTATTTGAAAAGAATATTTAAACCATGGTTACAAATTAAATAATTTCACATTTTAGCTACCTTTACTGATCTTTCGAAATACTCCACCTAAAAAAAAAGCTTTGATAGTGATAAATCTTACGCATTATTTGAATTTACTAAGGCCCACCAAGTAAAGCACTTATGAAATTATACTTCCATAACTGAAAATATACTTCCATAATTTTCATGGTATTGTACATCGGTGTTGGTATTGTACATATGTTATAAATATTTTTAATAACTTTGTAACTCATGAATGCATTATTTAAAGTGTTGACAAAATTCAATAAGCCTCCTTCACAGCAGTGGCGGATCCAGCGTGGTGGAGGGGGGTTGTCGTAGGAGTCATGACCCCCCCTCCAAATTGAAAAAAATAAAAATAATAATTTTTTTAACGGCTTACAAACGAAATAAAATATTTTAAAAATTATTTAAGGGGGCATATACACCTAAGTAGGTCGAAAAATCGATTTTTTTCCATCTAATTAAATACATGTTCTTCACTGTTTCAAGAATCATAATCCAAAAGATTAAAACGATATTCGTCAAAGTTTCATTGTAAACATTAAAGAATCTCTTAAATGCTTCCGTGAAAGTTGTCGAAACAGAATAGGAGTCATGCCCCCCCCCAAATTGAAAAAAATAAAAATAATAATTTTTTTATTAGTTTACAAACGAAATAAAATATTTTAAAAATTATTTAAGGGGGCATTTACACCTAAGTAGGTCGAAAAATCGATTTTTTTTCCATCTAATTAATTACATGTTCTTCACTGTTTCAAGAATCATAATCTAAAAGATTAAAACTATATTCGTCATAGTTTCATTGTAAACATTAAAGAATCTCTTAAATGCTTCCGTGAAAGTTGTCGAAGCAGAATTTCATCTTTAGGTGGCAAAATGGCAGCGTGACACAGAAGCAGGACTTGAAGTGAGAAATTGATTTGGATGTTGAAAAAATCATTGACAGATTTGCCGAAATTTCTAAGAAACGCATTACATTTATTATTTAAAGATGTTGAATACTTGAATTATTTATGTATTGTTCATTATGAAAAAAATAAATGAGAAGACTAGCATTAGAAACCCCAATTTTTTTTCAAAAAAAATATTTAAAAAATTTTTTTTTATAAAAATATTTATTGTGGGGGGGATCTGAGTCTATGAACCCCCCCCCCAGGAAAAATGTCTGAATCCGCCCCTGCTTCACAGTTCAGGGGAGTCGAATTTCAAAACATTTAGGGGAGTCGAATTTCAAAACATTTGTTCTAACAAATATACTTATAAGACCTTCTTAACCCTTAAAGTTAAATTTGTTTTACAATATTTTTACCTCGTGCAGTCCATTAACTGGCTCTCTAACTTCTTCGACAACGTCATCAATTATATGACATCCTTGCATTTTTGCGACTTTCTTCTGCGCAGCAACCATATTCCTCGGACTAATATAACCAGATCCCATATCATCAAAAAATATCGATGCATTTTCCTTTACTTTGAAAAACGGAAACCTAAGTAGAGAACACACGAGGACTAAAATCAGATTTATAAATTAGAAATTTAAATAAGCTTAGAAATTTACTCGATATTGAATAACTCAAAATCACGAATTCAATATTTTGCTAACTAATAAAATATTATAATATAATATGCACAAAAATTTATATTTTCCTATTGAATATATTTCACGGTTAAAACGTAGATTCGTTCTAAACAAAAAAGACCATTTGTTTGGCGAAGTATTTTGCCATTTTACCCTATATTCCATTATCATTTTACCTTACATTCGAAGCAAAATAGTTTTTTTCAAATTTAATTAAAACAAATTTTAAAATTTTATGAACAGATATAAATTATTTTAATTGTTCTAAAATTAGAAAATACCATTTCTACATGCTCTAAAAAATTGCATATCTGTTAAGCTATTAATCGTTTAATTTCCTCTAGCTTCACTTTTTGATAATTATCAATAGCTTTGTAATCTTAGTCTGTAAATGTAGGGTTAGTAGAAATTTCAGAACTTAGATTTTTTAAAGAAAAACAAAAATATGTCCAATAAAAATAATACTATCAACTTCATATGTCCATGTAAATACTATTATTATTAATGGTTAATAAACAAAATGAAGTTCAGTCTTAGAAAATGAAATTTTGGAGTCCTATAGCGTTATCCAGCGTAGGTTAAGCTACTTTCGCTGATTTTCTATTTGTTCTTAAATATTATCGTTTTAAATACAATATAAAGAAAAAGCAAAACTACTTTTAATAATAATTAATTATTATTTCTTAAATACAGTCGTTTAAAGAAACAATCTGAACATTGTATATTCTGATTGGAAGCATTAAAAAATATCATGGTAATTAATAATTATTATGAATTCGTAAATACAAACGTTTTAAAAAACTATCTGTACATTGGTTATATAGAAAAAGTATAAAGAATAATAAAACTGCCACACTAATTAATAATTATTCTGAATTACAATCGTTTTATGGAACATGCATTGCTAAATCAAAAACAAAGCATAAGAAAGTCTAAACAATTTGTAATTAAAAACAATTTTTATTATTTTAAATATCTTAAATTTAAAATTATATTAGTTAGTCATAATTTAGCAGAATTTTTTGTAATTGCATATTATTATTATTATAATTATCAAAAATATATCTATAGCGGCAAGACAAAAAAGTATTTTATATTTATATTGATTTTTTTAACTGTATTACTTAAAATAATTAAGTATTTCAGAAGTTTAAAAAAAAATTATTAAGTTGAAGAAAAGGAAATTTGCATATTTGCTGTTTAAATACTACCAATACATAAGATTTCCTAACCAATTGGTAGTAGAGCTAGAGGACATCCAAAACTTCGATGTCTGGACGCTTTTACCACGGTTTTCAAAACAGTTAGAGTGTTGAAATGGTAAAATCTGGTGGTAAAGCGAACTGAGTGGTGAAATGTTTCGGAGAAAGGCCTAGTCCTACCATGGATTGTTGTGCCAATGATGGTGGGACGAAAAAAACTTTACATTTTCATTGTTTGTTTGGAATTATGTTTTCGTCCGAGAGGGTAGAACCACTCGCTCTTGCTCTAGAAATAGTTAACAGGGAATAGTACAAGTAAGTTATGACAGTCAGAAAAGAAGCAGAGTTTACTAGAGGTTTCCATCTTGAATGGAACATTAACATTCAGCTCCTTGCCAATTCCTGTAAAGAAAACGTGTAGGAATATATTGCCAAAAATAAAGTGGCTGTTTAACAATGACCAGGAAACTCTCCGCATTTGAATCCCAAGGAGAATCTATGAATATTTGGATGTACGATCTCAAAAATGTATTCCAGTTTTAAAAAAATAGCTTCATAAGCACAGAGATCTTTGTTGTAGAAAGGAAAAATAGCGACTAGAGAAAGAAAATAATGACAGACAGGTTAACCAAACTGTTTAATCAAAATTAAATAACAGGTTTTCACCCAAACGGTTAATTTTTTCAATAACATTTGGTTTAACAAAGATTTTCTACTCCCAAAATGGAAATATATTTGTCAAATAAATAAATAAAATAGCCAGTATGGCAAAACTCTCCTGCATGTTTATAAGAGTGTCTGAGAAAACTCTTTGGATTTTGAAGCAAAAATTCACAAAAATGAATTTCATATTGAAAAAATATCCTCATGAGTTCAGTGGTTCAATTGAAGGGATAAACCACGGCTAGTTCCTGTTGTAGAAATGATAAACAACCATTAGGTCAACCCTTGTAGAGCCAATGTCAAAGTAAGGAGCTGAATTTAAAAGGGGGACATAGGAAAAATTAACTAAGAACAATATTTATAAATATTTTCTCTAAATTGCTGTTTTTCATCACAAACTCTTTGACTCAACTAACACGAGCTTGTCAATGTTTTACAAGATCTTGGGAATAAGTAAATGTAATTTTTGCACGACATATTGCGTATAAATTTTAGAGGAGTTTATATTATTGATATTTTTTAAAATTAGGTCATTAATTTTTTATTAGTGTAATATCTCACAACATACCTTCTGTAGAAAATATCTTTTGAAGATAGATCAACGCACTGAGTGCACCCAGGTGTGTTTTTGTCCAAAAGATGCCAAGTTTCATAATGGTGTTGGTCAAATATTAACATTGATCCGCATGGGTTGTAGAATTTGATATCTTGAATGAAAATGCAATGAATAAATAATAATAACAAATATCATTTTAAATATCATTTTCCTAAAAAAATTAGTTTTCCTTCGTTTGATAAAAAATTATAAAATGCGAAAAACAATGCTAAATAAATTTTTCTTAAATTTAGTTTTTAATAAAACATTAATACAGCAATGCATTAAGTAAAATTAGATATAAAACTGAGTCATGAATATTTTAGTATCAAAATGAAAGAAATTTGCAACTAAATTATTAATATCATATAAATTCAGGCTGTACAAGTTGTGCAAAGATGCGGAAAACCACATAGTATTTACAATTAACCGCTTAAACTGCAAGTAACCGCATGATTTTCATTTTTCCGTGAAATGTTTTCATTTCTTTGAACTTGTGTTCGTAATTTATTTTTCCTTTTCTTTCACCTTTATCTTCTTTTTCAATTTTAAGAATCCGATTACCAATGTATCCTTGACTTCATTAAATAACTTGTTATATCCCTGTTTCATTATTCGAAAAATGTATATATTTTTTTTATTTAAATTAAATTTTCCCCCAGTTTAATTTGTTTTCAATCTGCAACCAATCGACATTGGTTTTAAAATTTTATGCATTTTTGGCACATAATTTTAAAAATATTTCCGCATAATTGTACTCCACAAATGATGCACTGAAAAAACAATTTTAATACTAATCCTAATCATACTTATTATATTATTTTGATTATTGTGCAGCGATGGCTCAGGAGATAGAGAGCTCCCTCTCAATGAGGGGTATCAGGTTCGAATCTCAACGGAGGCCGGTTGGAGTGAATTATGCTCCTGGCTCACACTGACCACAGTGCTGACGAAAAATATTCTTAGTGATACCGAAAAGTGGGCTAATATTCCCATGCCGTCGTTCTAACCGTGTGAGGTTTTCGTGTTCTTTCTCTCCATGCAACGCAAATGCGGGTTAGTTTCATCCAATAGACCTCTACGAAGGCAAGTTTGTTCCAATGCTCTATTCAGGAGTTCCCTTGTCTTCTAAATTAGGTTCAAAATTACAGACTACTTAGAGTTGAACAATGGTTTCAAATAATTTCGATAGATAAAAAACAATTCGCTTATTCCATGTAAGAATATGAAATTTGATAATTTACTCAAAATTGGCTAAAAAAATTATTCGGGTATATTAATATCTGGTCTTATATCCTACGCCTCATACCGTATTATGCAGAGTATTTTAGATATAAATGATAATGTTGTATACTCGCTGGAGGACGGAAGTTTAAACTATTTTGTTCTCAAAATAGAAGTTTTCGTATTCGTGATTTCATCCAACCATTCAGCGATTTTATTTGGGTTCGATTTAGCTATTGCCCTTGCGGACTTTTCATTTAGCAGTGCTTTTATATATATATANTATATATATATATATATATATATAGTTCAGGTGGGTAGTGTGCATATGTGTGCTGATAAATTTATGCACTTTTTGTTGATTAAATTATAATTTACATTTATAATAATTTTCTCACTGATTTTCGCCAGCTGCTTTAATGCGCGTTGTTAATTAGAGATTTAGTGCGCTAAATTATTTTTTAAATATGCGTTGTGTTCAAATATATGTGATCAATCAAAGTTTGTATCGATTTATAATTTCTTGATACTCGATTATATTGCTGTACTTAATTATTACCTGATAATTTCTCGATTTCTCGAAATCTGCTAATGGACTCTCTATTTAAAGTTTGATATGCTTCACAAGTTTCATTTGCGTGAACAATTCTTCCTTCATCGTAGTGAGCTCCAAAGATTTCACGATTTTTGAACTCTTCTTCCTTAATTAATGAAAAAATTTAATTCATTTATAATACAATATAAATGCGAAACTTTCATTTATAATAAATGTGTCACTTACAATGTATTATGAAATACCGGCATTCTGTAAAATTCTTGGTGTTCTTAGGCAAGGTGTGAGACATGAGAATTATTATAATATATTTATAGCTAAGTCATTGTACATAATACCTGCAAGTTTCTTATTAGTCATTCTATACAATGGGCAGTGTGTCGTTCAATAATTGATCGTTCAATTCTTTGCGCATTTAGTTATTCTACAGAATTCCTAAGCGATGTGTGAAATATTAATCATGCCATACGATGCCTGCCGATTTTAGGCATTCTATACTATGAACATGTATTTAATAGAATGCCGTGTTGTTAACAGATGGTAACAGACACAGCGGAATATCATAATAATTATTTATTACAGTTATGAATAAATTTTGAAAATATTCCTCTATAACTCATTTTTCTTTAACCAAATGTCAAATCCCTGATGGTTAGCATATACTTTTACTTTTCCGGTCGTTTCAAAATTTCTCAATATACTACAATAAACAGTGCGCCAAGAAAAAAGGACAAAAACGGACTACCTTGAATAATTTTAATCTAATGATTTGATTTTATATTTTGTAACCGTCGTTGATCAGCCGACCCTAGTTTTTGGTTTTATAACTACTAATGTTCTACTCCGTAGCCCTGTAGTTTTGAACCAATCAAGAAGACAAGGAAACTCCTGGATAGAATATTGGGAGAAATTTGCCTTCGTGGAGGACTTTTCGATGGAACTAACCCGCATTTACATGGAGAGGAAGACTAAGAGAACCTCCCACGGGTAGCCTTACGGCAAGGGGACTCTAACCCGTGATCCGTCTACCACTGAGGATATTTCACTGTGGTCGGTGCAAGCCGGATGCGGAATTCGTATCGACTGGGATTCGAACCCGTATTTCCCCATATCTCGAGATCTTCTTAAGCAAATTAAAACAATTTTGCGCACAATTATAAAATTCGCTTATCAAAAGACAAATCCATGTGAAGAAATAATTTTTAATAAATATTTTTCAATCATTTTATTTGACAATAGTCGACAAAATTTTGAATTGTAAAGCATACACTGTTTCACAACATTTCAAAGTATGTAATTTTACATGGCAATATAGATTGCCAATTTGAACGAAATCGGTTAAATACTTCCTGAGAAATCTAATTTTAAATATATGGTATTTTTAAAATTCGATTTCTTAGGAACTATTCAACCAGTTTCGCTCAAATTTCGCATATTGCCATATAAATTTACATAATTTAAAATAGTATGAAAAATTGTATACCTTACTAGTCAAAATTTTTTTCACCTTTTATTAAAAAAAATAATAAATATTTATTAAAATTTATTTTTGCATTCAATTTTAATTAGATAAACGAAATTTACAATTGTGTGCAAATTTTTTCAATTTGCTTAATAATTCTGCGAGATATGGCGAACTACTCAAAAAGTAAAAGTATCATTATGGAGTCCAAACTTTGGAGCACTCTCCTGACGAAACTATTCGGATCATATTTCTCAAAATGCGGCTACCCCCCATATTTTTGCGGTCAGAAATCAGAATTCGGCGAAAAAACGGTACGTTTCTTCAGAGAAAGTACGTTTTTGTGTCTGATTTTGTAACTTAAAATATTGTCTGCACTAATTAATTAGCATATTTGAGGTCACCCCCATTACATTAAGATTGATCCAAATATTAAATTAAATTTTATTCAGGGTAGTCCGCTTTTTATTTTGCGCACTGCACATTTGCCTGTTTTTAATTTTTTTTTCAATTTAATTTTTGATTGGGTGATCGTGAAAAGTTTTCTGAATGTAATTTAAGAAAAACAAACACAATTGTTAAAAATTTAGAAAAAACAACAACAGACAAATGAATAATACTGCACTACCTTGCTGATTGCAGAAGTGCATTAGTACACGTATGAATAACACGCAAAAAGTTTTTGTGTGAAAATTAAATTAAGATGATTAAAAGCGCATTTAAAATTGCCCTCCTCCATCTACTCTCTTTTGATAGTTGAGTTCTGACAGGAGGTCTTTTAATCGCTTATGCCAATTTGTAACTGATAAGAAATTCAGTACAGAATATTTAGGCATGAAATACATGTTTACTAAACTTGAATGCAAGATTAACAAAACTAAATGCATGATCAATAAAATTAAGGACATGATTAATAGAATTAAATGCATGATTCACAAAATTTACTGTATGATTGACAAAACTAACTGCATGATTAACAAAATAAAATGCATGATTAACAAAATTAAATTCATGCTTAACAATAAAAGGTATGATTAAAAATTAGAATGCATGTTTAGCAAAATTAACTGCATGAATAACAAAAATAAAAGCATGATTAACAAAATTAAATGCGTGATTATCAAAATTAAATTCATGATTAACAGAATAAAAGGTATGATTAAAAATTGCAATGCATGTTTAACAAAATTAACTGCATGAATAACAAAATTAAAAGCATGATTAACAAAATTAAATGTATGATTAGCAAAATTAAATTCATGATTAACAGAATAAAAGGTATGATTAAAATTTGCAATGCATGTTTAGCAAAATTAACTGCATGAATAACAAAAATAAAAGCATGATTAACAAAATTAAATGCGTGATTAATAAAATTCAAACGCACTGAATATTCTACTTACCGTAGGTTCTTCAGGTCCTATCAAACAAACTTTTAGTGTGGGATTAACGGATGCATGTCTAGCCGCAGCGCTGCCAAACATACCAGCACCAACAATGCACAAATCATATTCAATTGCAGAACCGTGTATGCACATCTATATGCGAGAAAAAATTATAGTGCTTTATTTTACATAAAAAGAGTTAATAAAAAAATGATTACTTCGTTTAAAAAGAATTACTTTTATTTTTGAGGCAAGTTTAAAATGAATATCAATGTAAAATTTTAAGAATTATTTAGTTTCTTTTACGTTAATCAGTAACTTAAATCCGCATATCTTTATCGGTTCTATATCTTACAGTTTTATCTTTGGAAAGAAATAGATTGTGACATAGTTGTATTTGAACATCATACTTCTAAACAGCTAAATTCAGAAATTCTGGTATTGGTTAAAAATAATTTTATGGGCAATATACTTGTTTATATATTATTTCCTTGATTGATCGACTTCCTTCCAAAATATAGTTCTAATTTTGTTCTGAATAATTTTCGAAAATAAAGTTTGATTGTTGGTTTTTAAATATCTACATAGGAATGCGAGTAAAATAACATAATGGAATACTTATTTTTATTATGCCAAATATGCAATTATCTAGTATGATAAACACTTTTTTAATTGGTTTAATGAGAAACGATTTTTTTTGTTTTGCAAAAGAATGATGAGATAAATTTTTGTGAAATTATACTGATTAGTAAGAGTTTTATTTTTATTCCATCTCATAAATAATTTTAAACCTGAACTCATTTTTATCTCGTTTTTGATTTATATCGCTATTAATGGATGGTGAAGTAGTTTACTTTTATTTCCGCAATTACAATTTTGCATATAAAAATACACTTCTTGACTAAAAACGTTATGGAAATCTATGAATGGATTATTGTTTACATAATTTATTTATTTATACCATAAAACCTCGCTATAACAAGATTGACGTATTATGGAATTCTGTAATTGCGAAAATGTTTCATAAATACTAGCCTTCCACAATGGAAAGACTTTCTTTTATTTTTTTTATGTATCTTTTTAGAGGGAAATGCTTTTTTTCTATTAAAGTTAAGAATACTAGAGCAAAAAGAACAAAATAGAAGATAACAATTTATTTTTGGTATCAATAATTTCACCTGATTTCCTTCCTACAATCTTAACTCTCTCTGTTTGTAAAGCAAACATGTGAGGGCGATCAACTGCTTAGTTAACACTTTTTCCTTACAGAGTAAAAAATTTTCTACTGTTATTTAAAAAAAAAAAAAAAAATTAGCCCGTTTTTGTTGACTACGCATTTCTTGACAGAGCATCCAGAGCTACTGAAAACAATATTCGGTGGCATCAATGATGCGTAGAGTTTATCTGCGAACTTTTAATATTTTATACTGCTATTTTCAAATTAAATATGGTATTTATGAAGAAAATCTCGTTATAACGGCCATTCCACTTGCTATAGCGGATTGTCGTATTAACGGACTCTAGTGGTATATGGAACATGGTTTAAGTATTATTAGGGTACCAATCCTTTTTTAATGGAGAAATGCATTGGTGGGGGTCACACTAAATTCAGATAATAACCTAACTATTCCTCAGTATGCTAAGAATAATATTAAAAGATAATATAATAATTAAGAGACAAGGTATATGTTTTCAAATATGTATATGTATAATATTTTCGAATTAAAACGTAATTTAAAATCAGCACATTTTTTCTTCTTTAATCAAATTAATTTAAAAACTAGTTTTTAATCTTCACTGTGGTAAATCAATTTCATTATTTATTTTCATACATAATATAATAATAGTTTCAGAACGTTGAACTATAATATGGTGCGAGCCTTAATAAGGGGTAAAATTGAACTATGTTTCTGCTCTTATTGTATATAAGGTTTACGATAATAAGTTCAAATTATCAATATTTTTAGATAAAACACAACGGTATTATGGTCCAGAAATTTAATGTTATAATATATAGGATTTTTTTTTTTTAAGTTGATTGAAATTTTCAGGAAAGAGACTTTTTAATTATTGTTCAGTTTTACAATCAATGTTTAGTTGGAAAGTGGGTGACCTTACATTGATAATTCGAAGGTCACGAGTCGTCCATACCTGATGTAACAGCAATTATTCTTTTTTAATACAGTTTTTTTAAGGTATACATTTAATAAGATTATTGGTTATTCAAATTTACATTAAGAAATATTTATTTTTCACTTCATTAGAATATTACACTATAAGTAAAAAAACAATTAGCAATGAATTTTGGTTATTTTAAATACTATTAAAAAATTTAGGGAATGAAATTATTTTTGAAGCAAATATTTCTTGCCCGCATTAACATGTTCTGAGTTTAAATCATCATAAGTTTTCTGAAAATTACGGAATAAAAATCGCAATTGAGTTACAAATGTAACATGTAGTCTTTACTTACAAGCCAATCCAACTTTCATTATAAGTTAGAAAATTCTTTGATGAGTAATTTAATGCCTTTAAATTCATTTTTCATTTTAAATAAACTTAGATGAAGACTGTTAACAATATCTATTTACTGTCTTAGGCAATATGTGAAACGCAGAACAATACCTCTGCACTAAAAAGCAAAGAATTCTCGTCGCTTCTCACTCTTAAAGCGGTGAAACTATCGGATATTTTTTTTTTAAAAAAGCGTGAAATTATGCGCATTTTTAAGGAAGTTTTAAATGTTTCTTATATAAAAATATGATAGACTCGATCATTCATTTTTGAGTTAGTTCATGTCAATATTAAGTAAGACTTTTAAAAAAAGCTGCGTGACTTTCAGGAGAAATTTGATTTTTTTACTTTTAAATTTTGTGTACTTTTAAAATTCAAGATGGGCAATTTTCAGTTTCGTTTTGTTTGAACTTGAATTAGTTTCAAAATTGTTTAGTTTTAAAGCTTTTTCATGAAATTCATACAATCCCGAACGATTTGCAAAAGAAAGCTTGTTTTAGGAAGAAAGTTTGGCAAAAGCATTTGCTTTGACTTAAAAAAATATGGAATTATTTCAAATAGGGTACTTGATGCTAATATTTTTGTAAACCAGTCAAGAGAAATTTTTAAAATTCTATCGTAGCTTTTTTGTTTAAGTAAGTTGTTTTGCTCGCATGGCAAGGTGGTAATCTCTTGAACTAGCAGAGAGGAAACAGACTTGTCTAATGTACTTTAAAATAAAGCATAAAAGAAATAAAGGTGTTGGGTAAAAAGGTAAAAATGGGAATGAGGTGATTGGAGCAAGTGTAGCAAGCGAAGTTCACGAAGCGTATAGCTTATTTTATGATGTCTACGAAGATTTTATAATGTCTACATAGATATAATATAAGCTAGGATTATAAGATGTATAGGTAACATTAATTTTCAAACTATTTTATTTCAAAGTTGAAATTATTTTAAGTTTCTACCCGGCCTAATTTAATTTTACAATAATTATATTAGACGTAGAATTATAGTCTTTTACAGTCACCATTTTGGAATATTAACAATGCGTCTTAAATTACTTTTCTTAAACTCTTTCTTTAATTGGTTAAGGAGAAATTAAATAAGGAATTCGTATTTTTTTACGAAAAATGCACCCTAATGCCTTGATTTTTTGCTGCTTCACCCGTAATTTGTGCTATTGATGCTATAAAGTTGAAGTGAGTGATTAAAGCAAGCTTAGTTTTCGAAAGGAATTTAAAAAAGTCTTACGAGCGTTAGTGAAAATGGGACGAGGCCTCTAAAATAATTAAAATGAAGTATGAAAATTATGAATTAAGTATAATAGCAGGGTTAGGAAGCAAAACTAAGACGAAAGAGTCTCCCTTTTATATATATATACATTTTTTTGATGCTCTATTAGCATATTTTGGTGTTTTTTTAACGATAAAAAAACACTCTAACAATTACTAAAAAATCAGTTTGATTATCGGAAAAATATTTGTATTAAAACTTAAAACCAAAAAATTTTTTAAAATTTTTTTTTATTCATCTTAAAAAATTTATCAATAATTGATTTTGTAAATTAAAGAAATTTCAACGATAGACAACTATTTTTATTGATCTAAATACCTGTAAATAAGTGCAAATTTTCATAATTATTGTTTCGAAGTGAGCAGTGTTTGGAAGATTTTATTCTTAATGCAGAGAAAGACGCCAATGTTTCATGCTATATTTCATAACTATGAATTATTAAAATGCCAAAATTATATTTTTCATTTATTTTGTCCTAATTTAATGCCAAATAATGAAAAAAAGTATGAAAAATATATTTAATAAACATTCTGCGTCAAGAAGTTAAGAAATAAAATAAAATCCATAAACATGGTTTAAGTACACTTCTGGAAAATTTTGGTAATATAGTACAAAGTTTGAAGAAATATTGGAAGTATATTAGTATGAGATTTAGTTAATAAAGAATCATTTATGTGATATTCATGAAAATTTTTGATTTTACATGTAAGTAAATGAAAGTCTTGAAAAATGGTGCATCATAAACTTGGACAAAGAAAAGCACCAATATTCATTTAGTTCTCCAAACATTGTGTAAAAGGAAAACTTCTGCTAAGTTTTGGAAATTGAAGGAGATTAAGTAATGTTTAGGCAGTATATACTTACACACATAATTCTTTTACGCAAATAAATATTTTAGCTGTATATTACAAAAAAAAAGGAAAAAAGACGAAGTCAAATCTGCTCTAAAAACTAAAATATACAAAAAATGTCGGATATTTTAAAATTTTTTTAACATTTCCACGAACAATTCAAGATTATACATAACGAAGTCATTGTATTGTCAAAGTAGACTTTGTTTCGCAAACAATAGGTGTTCTAGACATACAAATATTCAAACTGAACTTAAAAATGAAGTAAGTACTTATGTCCAATTCAAGTTCATCATAAGATAAATTTGTACTTATAGAAATATTGTAAATCAAAAAAATTACGTCACATACAAATAATTAAGCATTTACCTTTTTAACATTTGCCGTGTCTTATGATCAGATATTTAAGTTCTAAACTAAAGATAAGCCTAAACTAAACACTGAAGCCACTACGATTAACTTCTGAAGATTTTATTCAACTAGTTTTGTTTTTGGTATTTTACGTCTGTTTTCATTTTATCAGTACGTGATAGATTTTTAAAACATAAAAGGTAGCAAGTATATGATTTGCATATTGGCCTTCAAAAGCATTATACATATTATAATCGGCCTTGGAATTCTATCAATTTTCAAGGTTATGTATTTTTTTTATATTATCTTTATCTTATAGTAAAAGTTTTTCTTAAATTTTCGAAGTATAACCTTAGAAAAACGATTATGTATAATTATTTG